TACATCCGTACATGCGTACATACATACATACATACATACATACAAACATACATACATACGTACATACGTACGTACATACATACATACACATACATACATACATACGTACGTACATACGTACGTACCCTAACCATCGCCCGCTTGAAAAAACATGGGATTTCGCTTGAAATTACCCATCGAATGTTACCATGTGCGCGTGGCATTTTCTATCGGACCCGCTAGGAATCGGATGGGGTGCTAGTTTCTCCACTAGGTTCTCCGGTAGGTTTTTATCAAGGATTCCGCAAGGTTTTTCATCAATGATTCGTGACCAGCACACACAAGACCCCAACCCGAAATTCTGAAGCACACAGGCGTTCACAGAACCGCACAGAAATTCACAGAATTTCACAGATTCTCACAGAACTTCACAAATCTTCACAGACTGGTTTGTGAGGATCTGTGAAATTCTGTGAAGTTCTGTGAAATTCTGTGTAAACCTGTGAAAACCTGTGGAAGGCCCGCCCAAACCAGAAATCACAGGCTTCAAGCCAACCCGAACACCCATGTTGCTCGATGCTCCGCTTGGTTTTTGTCCCATTCTCCTACTGATTCCCCGCTGGGTCTTTGTTTCGGCTGGTTTTCACGCAAACCTAGTGGATCCGCTTGAAAACACCAATCGGACCCAATCCACTTGAAACTACCAATCGAATCAGCTTGTTTCTGTCGGCCGATGGATAGGGTACATACGTACATACGTACATATGTACATATATATATACATATATATATACATATATATATATATACATACACACACACACATACATAAACACCGAATGTGCTCACAGTGCGCATCATGCTTGATACGTAGCACTAAGCTACAAGCCGCACATGCATGAGCAGCAGGGCTGCCGGCAGTTGTCGCTGTGTTTCAGCTGGGCAAATTGGAGGAAAGCGCAGATAATCAGTCGCTTTATGGCTTGAGTGCTGACACATTGGCACAGCCGAGCGGCGTTGAGACCCAGATCTGGAAGGAAGTGCCCCAAAGCAGGATCCATCCAGAATTTGTACTCGGCTTCCAACACTGGAAATACCTGTCACTCTCAAACAGCAAACAAAGTGCACACAGGCGTAGAGAGGTCTGCGCCGAGACACAGAATGGAATTTCAGCTGCACATTGAGAAAGGAATCCTCCCTTGATTTGAGTTCTCCGATTCTGGCCGTTTGGTTGTTGTCGCTATTGCACTCTCGTACTTTAGGACTGCTCAGGGTGAAGTCGGAGTGAATGGTCGACTGAAGTCTGCGTGGAGCCAGAGCAGTGCCTCGCGCAGCCACGCGTCATCGGCAGTGACCTCCAATACGGCCTGGACCATCTCGCCCAGCATGGGCGGCTGAGACCTGAAGAAAGGAAGTGGCTGGGTCGAGGTCGAGATGCTGTGTATATATATATATGTCTAAGGACAGAACACAAGTGTCCCTGCTTTATGCTGCATGCTCCAAGCGGCCTGTCAAGATAGTACACTCGACCTCCATTGGGCACGAACCCGAACTGACGCACATAGTCGAGCAGGTTCTCGACCACGCCTGATCGCCAAGAGAGCGCTGAATGATCAGATCGACTAGACATTTTGCGCTCACTGAATTGTGCGTAGAGTCTTACGTCGTCAAGGCACCCTTGGCCGTGTCGTTCATGCCACTCAGCAGCAGGCCGCGGACGATCCAATAAGTGTCCTGTGTACCATCGAGGCTCTGTCGACAGAGGACCCAAAACTGGAGGAGTAATGTAGGGGCCTTAATAATTAGAATGGGGTTTTGCGGGTTCCTTATTATAATTCTAGTATAATGGACCCCCCAAACCCTATTCTAATTCTTAAGCCCCCTATATTAACCCGTGCTTTCGAATCAGGATGGCCCAGTGGGGATGGAGGGAACGACACATGTCCAGCGCTTGATAAGAAAAGGTCTGTCGTGTGGAGTAGCACGGGGCTCATAACGGATGTGAAGCCAGGTCACAAAGTTCACAGTTCACCCCGACCGCCCTGCTGGAATAAGATACCTTATAAACGCGATCCTAACTTGGAGCAAGGCCGAATCTCTAAACTCTAAAGGCCCCGAATGTCTTAGAATCGAGCCCTATCGAACCAAAACTTGTCGAAACCCAGAAACCCTCGACACAGTCTTAAACCCCCAAACTCTTATAGTGACCCTCGTATTAACACTTGACTCTAACATCGCTGGTCGTGATTAGCCGCTAGCCGAGTGTCCCAGTAGTAGGTCTCGCGGAATCTGCCGCCGGGAACCTGCTCTAGCTATGAAGATTCAGGGCTAGGGTGTTAGAACCGTTAAATATAGGGCTTTGCAAGATGTGATAAAGGTCTTTGAAACATGTGCGGGATGTAGGATGGCCCGGTGTCGTTCAACCTTTCAACCGTTGATTCCGGGCTTCCTGGGGTTTGGAGCTTCAGAGGGCTGCCCCCAAAAGGCTTTCTGGCTGTAGTGGCCAGGATCCAAGAACCTCCGATGTCCTGAAGACTTCAAGTTAAACATAATTGGCCCCCGACACCCAAACGGCAACCTGAACTCCCAACAGTGGCCTTCACACCCTGCCCACCCTCCACGCTGACTGACTCCCGGACACCCCTTCCTGTTCAACGCACAGGCACCACGCTTGCGAAGCGCTGTGGCAGGGCCGAGTGTCGCTGTGCAGCTGCCGCGACTGCAGGGCGCTGCTTTCGGCAAAGGTCCTGTCAGTCAAGGGGCACGAGGGTTGTGATGCTGATGATGCCGGTGGTGACAATGGTGATCCTTATGATGACCAATACTATAGTGTTACGGTTGTTGGGGTTATCGATGTGTTTGCCTTAACTGCCTTGTTAAGCTTTGGTAAATCAGCAAGTGTTGTTGTCACTACTACGAAAACTCGCATGACAATTGATGTTCTCACGGTTCTGTCCTTCTCCTAGACCCCCAGCATCGCTCAGCACTCTGGTTGTATGGCTACCATGATGATGATGATGATGATGATGATGATGATGACGTTGACTACCATCACTGATAGTACTACGGCACTGGGATCGTCCTAGGTTTCGGGTTTACAGATTTTTCGTAGGGTGTTGAGGTCCTATAGACTTTGCTTTGCAAAAAATCTCTCCCTGCATGGAGTCTCCGGTATCCCATAAAAACAAAGCTCAGAATGGCTCAGAGCCTTGGCGAGTATATAGGCTTGGGACTTAGGGTTCAGGGTATTGAAGCCCTATGTCCTTTATGAAACCCTTAACGCCTAAGCACGGATAAACTTCTACACACACCCGTGCCATGCGCCACCGCCTTCCAAATCTGATGAAGAGCCATCGCCCACTGCCGCAAGGCCTGCTTTGCGGGCAGCCCCTATGGCTGAGGGGGTTGCGGCCTAAAACTTCCCTGGTCTGTTACCCTTTCATAGGGTTTGTAAGCGTCCTAAACAGGCCTTTGATTACTTAAAAGGGCCTAGTGACACTTTGCGAGGCGGCTGCGATTTTGCTGACCGGGTTTCTGTATTATCGCACCCTAACCGAGACATAGAATAGCTAGCCATACAACGGAATTAATTACATTCAAGAGAATAGGTTTGCTTGTCTATCGGACTGGTCCTTGGATTGTGTAAAGGGGTTGTCTTTCGGTGGTCCTCCCTTGCGCAGTTTCTTATTCGAATCTTCTAGTATAGACTCGACACTCACAAGCCCTCGGGGTTTGGGGTTTCAGATTTAGGTGCCAACATTCTCACGAGAACCTATCTTCATCCTGAGTGCTCCGTTGGCAGACGAAGAATACCAAAACACTCACCACGAATTTGGCAGAAGCTGAACGGAGCCGCAAACGGACACCTTAACTGCTTGAGCTGCTTTGGGGGGTTTGCTGGGATTCGGCCGGCCCTCGCCCCAGAAGCACATCAGTCGGTTCTGCATCGCAGACCACAAAATCTCAAACACGGACCCCAAGCCCGACTTCCTACAAACCCCCCAAACCGAAATCCTCGGCCTTTTCAACCCTGAGAATACAAAAACCTCTAAAGGCCGCGCGTGAGAGAAGCAAGCCTCATCCGGCAGTCTCGCCAGCTGTGGCGGGTTCGGCTGGTGGTCGGCCGGCACGAAGGGCTCGAGCTCTTGCCCCTCAGCCTCGTCAGCTCTGAACTGTCCCCCCTCCCGCCACACTCTCAGAAACCTTAAGCCCCACAAACCTCAAAGATCCGAGCCCCTGCCTCAAAATGGGTCTCCACGAAGTTGCGCAGGGCCTCGGCATTTTGCTTGTCCGGCAAGCGCCGGAAGGCCTGGCAGCGTCGCATAAAAGGTCAGAGGGGAACGATAAGGAACCTCTGGCGTTCAGGACTAAAGCGACCCTGCGTGGAATGGCAAGTTGAGGAGACATCTGCAGACCCATGTCTATGCTACCTTAGCTGCACTCCCTTATCGATCTCCGCCTCGAGAACCTCTTCTGGCTCAACACCTTGGCAGAGGGTTGGGGTCTAGATACTATGGTCAGTGCGGTCAGTGTGTCTCCCCTCTCGTTGCCGCCGACAGGTCAAGGGCACACAGAAGGTTCCACGCTCTTCAGGGAAGGTTTGGCTTCCCCAACATCCCAAACCCGACCCACAAGCCGCCTAAACCCCAAACCCTAAACCGACAACAGAGCGTTTGCGCAGCCGTACAGTGTCTTAACAATGCATTTGAGCAAGGGTTGACGAGTCGACGAGACATCTATGGGACCCAACTAACACAGCAGCGCGAGTAGGACTCGATCTGTCTGTTATAATGTAGCTGTCCCGTCTGCCGCATGACATTATACCACTATAAACTATATGGCATAGGATTCATTGTAGAAATCTCTTTGTATGTATGATCTGCACATACATACATACATACATACATACATATACATATAACTACTTCTTTGTTGATTGAATATGTTCACATATATATATATGTGGACATGTGTTTGTCCATGTGTCCTCTACATATAGACACACACACACGCAAACAATCCAGCCCATGTCTGTGTGCTTACACAGCGAGTAACGTATACAAAAATTGTACTGTTCTTTGCATGTCTACTTCTCGATTATGGTGTCGTCTGTGCAAAGTCTGCAGCCGAATCGACATGCCCCCTATAGCCTAACCGTTCAGCCTCAAACTCCCAACCCCTAAAATCGGCAGCCTTCACCCCTAAAGCCTCCAAACCTGAAACCTTCATTGGTAGACTCTCTGGAAGGGCCACCCGTCCCATGAGGCCGCTGCGGAGAGGTCGATCAACGAAAGTCTTGGAGTCCTCATGTTCGGCTACCCTAAACCCTAAACCCCAAACCTTAAACCCTAAACCCTGAACCCTAAACCCTAAACCTTAAACCCTAAACCCCTAAACCCTACAGGTTACGGCATAATGCACACTTTAGGGCTTCAGGGCTCAAGGGCTTCAGGCCCCTTGGGGTGAATGAGGGACTAGGATGGACTAGGGTTCGCCATGAATATCCATGAGTTCAGAGTTTTGGGGGTGGCGAGATTCGATTAAGTTAAGGATTCAGAGGGGATTCAGGCCCACAGCTGCAGGTACCTAGGGTACCTTGCGGTTTTCAGGGGATTTAGTGCCTCAGAGCTTCGGAGAATAGGGTTTAGGCGCTTCGGGGTTTCAGAGTTTCAGATTGGTCTCACACTTTTGCTTAGCTGCGAAGAAGTCAAGGACTTCTGCCCTCTGGACATACGCTCTTTTCGCTCTGGGCCTTCGGCCTAAATACTGATTAGAAGGACGATTTTACGGCATCTTTGTCTGGGTTTAGAACAGAGTCTCTTACAGCCACGCCGTGCCCGTGTCAAAACTACACTCTCGGGACCCGATATCCCGACCAGAATCCTCCTCGTCATATCTTGGCCTGCTACCATGCCCTTTGGACACCTGCATGCGAGAAAAAAAACTCCCAACACAACACAACTATTAGAAAAGAAACGGCCGGAACTAGAGTGTCAGGGCATTTGGAAGAACAAACGCACGTCTACTGTGGTGAACGTAAACGAATGATACTCCTTGCAGCGCCATACTTGGAGGTTCATGGGTAGTTATAAGTAGCGTTATAAGTGGGATAACTATAGTTATAACCTATTTTACGGGACTTATTATAACTCCACTTATAACTACCCATGAACCTCCAAGTACCCTGCATCCTTCAGCATGCCGCCGCTCAAAACCCAAGCCGAAGTCCTCAAAAAGGCGCGCTCGTTGTATCGTATCCAGCAGCTCACCTGCCCAAGCAACCCTATACGAAAGGGTTTAAAAGAGACCAGGGCTCAAGATTGCGGAGCCTGCGGTGCTAGCTGCTGGAGTAGGAGCAGGTCGAATGCGCAGTTCTTGAGCCCTAGACGAAGCGTATTCAGGAGTCTTCGCTCCCAAAGTTCGTACCAGACCGTGTTCTTCGCAGACGACCGACGGGTGATTTGAGCATGCTCTTGCCGGAAGGCCTTTTCAGCGATTTAAAAAAGTACCATCCGAGAACGTGCACGCAGCTAGGACTTAGGGTTTGTACTCCGACCAACCCTGCTTCATAGTCTTCAAAGCCCTGGCCCTTGCAGTGACCCTTCTAGAAGCCCTGTCTTAACCCCGAAATCCCCAAACTCCAGTTCAAGGGCTGGGCCCCGTGGCCTTCGCAAAAGACGCTGCAGGCTCTCTGCACTGGCTCAGGCAGGGACGGGGCCACGGCCTAGTGGAGCTCTAAAAGTCGGGTTGACAGGCTCAAGGTTAGGGGGGTTTAGGGCTTAGGGTTTGGGGTTAGGGTTTACGGTACAGAACCCCCGTTCTTTACAGGCCCTACAGTGAAGAATAGGGTTTAGGGTACAGTGAAAAATAGAATCCCTAGTATCATCCTTGTGCAGGGAGAAGGCTTGCTAGTCAGCGGTCTGCACTGGGCTTCAGGGCTCTTAAAGGGTTGGGGTTCAAGGCTCTATAGGGATTCATAGCATGTGCGGCTTCATGCCCCCATGTTTCAAAAAGCCGGGCTCAACGAGAAGCTGATCGTTGCAATAGGGCTTTATTACATTTATGCATTTCCAATAAGGTTTTTCAAGGCTTAAACATCGAGGCCTGAAGCATTGGAAGAGGGAGGCTTGATTCCAGAGGTGTTGGACCGCTAGGTTGGTGGCACTGCGACAACAGTTGACAAAGGGCACCATACTGAGATCAACGCTTCACATCTGCTGATATCTCTCTGCAATAGAACTCGGCATAAAATCGAATCGATACTATAACATTGATCAAGATTGATTTCGTCAATACCGAGCTGACATCTGAGTACTAGGCTTGAGCTTTGCACTTAGGATTTGCAAAATTCGAATCGTTCCGGGGTTAATGGGCCCAATGGACATGGGAGGAGATTGGCAAGGACGCAACTTCATCTGGACGACTTTCTCACGAAGACTGCTTGATGCGACTGTGGGATCCTCCCACCCTTTCTGGCTACTTCTTGACTGTAGGCCGCACCACTAATCGCTTTGCAGGTGCACCTGTGGCATGTAACAGAACTCGTCCTGCGACGAGAGGAGACGCTTGACCGGTCTTGCTCAAAATCCCGAGAACCCTAAACTGCTAAACCCAAAACCCCCAGAGCCCTGAAACCCTAAGACTCTCTAAACCGCAACAGCCCTGAAGCTGTCATCACTTCGACAGCCAAATGGGTAGTCCTCTAAACTCGGGTCCCTGTTTATATCCCCAAACTAGTAAAAATAGTACGGCACCCTGTCAAAAAGGACCCTAAACGGGACCCTAATTTAGACAACTGCCCTTATAGTCCCCTTATAGAAACCCCTCTAGATCCCTTTGAATCGGACCTTATAGAAACCCTTCTAGATCTCTTTGAAAAAGGAACCCTAAACCAAAACTCGACATCCTCAGCTCCCGGCCAGCCCAGGCACAAACATAGCCATCAGGTGCAGGGCACAAGGCGCCAGGCAACGCATGGCGGATCGACTGTTGGGGCTTTTTTTACGGGGTTCTATGCGGGGTTGTGGGGTTTCCGGCTTTATTGTTTGAGGTGGATATTAGGATTAGGTTGTGCTGTATAGGTGCCGTAGATGATAGACCTTGTAGGCCGTGGTTGAAGGATCACATCACAAGGTGACCCCCAACCTTCAGAAACATGCACAAGACTAATTGGGGGGGGATCCTCTTGAGACTCTCGTGCGTCGACTTCAGCCCCATCTTTGCTTTCAATCCCTCTTTGCTGCTTCGTCGATCAGCCCAAAGCTGTGCAGGGTCTTGAAACCTGATCAATCATGTACGGCTGTGGCTAAACATTTGGGGTCTCTTTGCGAAGCTTCAGCCCTGAACTATACCGTGCAGGAAATAAGAGGAATGCTTTCTGTTAAACATGCGTAGTTGTGTGCACATGATCCTGACAAAAATCCTAAAGAGTCATCCTGGCATCTTAGAGCTCTCGAGTGTGAGCTGCGAGGCTCACACATCAAGCAGGTAAAGTACCACGATGCCTGACGTCCGGCACCCACTTATTAAAGTCTACCACCAAGATTGAAGTCGTTGAGGGAGTCGCCCTCTGCGAAAGGTCCAACACATTGATTATCCGTGTTTAAGCTGCCACTTCCTCCACTACACTTCTTCTACTATGCTGTTATGGCGATGATGATGATGATGATGATGATGTGTTGATGATGATGATGATGATGTGTTGATGTGTTGATGTGTTGTTGCCAAGCTCAGACACAGGTAGCATGGGGCACCCCCATGCCCTCTGCTGGTCCGCCAAGCGTGGCGGCGCTGACGGAGCCGCAAGAAGAGGCAGGACGTGGTGTAGGAGTGCAGGTACGTCCTGCTCACTTTGGTATCTGGGTATCTTCCGCGCGATTAGCCGGCCGTCGCAATTGGAAACCACATGCAGTGACTCTGTCCGCAGACCAACTGGTCCAAACTCGCCACCTGCGAAGAAACCGACCTTGTTGCATTGGGTCCAGGCTTGTCAAAGATAGATCAGTGGGTGCTTTGAAATTTGTTGAGATCCACTAGTGTCACTAGTGACCATCCAGCAAACACGCCACCTATCTGCGAATGAGCAGAATCCTGCATTATCCAACAAAGAATCTGATGTGCTTACCAGTGCTTACCACTGCTTGGAATACCTGTGAGGTAGTGTAGGATTGTGTCCATCAGTCGTATCACTCGCGCTTCAGTCAACAAGCCTCATGCGCGTCTGGTCAGGTTCTCTTTCTCATCATCGCCGGTGCCCCTGTGTAATCGTCTCGATGCACTTGCTGCATCTGAGATTCGGACCGCAGGGAC